TAAATTAGTCTAAGTCTCTGTAGTGCTACGTTAGCGTATATGTAAGGATATATCTAAGTATATGTTAATAAAAACCAAAGGCATGACCTCACCTTAAATATTAAAAAAAAAAATAAAATAAAAAATAAAAAATATTTTTCAATATTCACTGTATGTTTTTTTTTAATATTATTTCAAAACTCCTCTACTGTTTTAACGCATGCAGAATACCCTATACTTGACATCATATTGATAGCCTCCTATGTAGCTCCCGACGCCATTAAGTATAAGCCAACTTCGATTTTGTGTTGGTTAACGAATTTATTTCGTAACCCTGCTATCATGTAACATAACCCGACTATTGACTTTTTGGCTTCATTTATACTATAGGTTGAACGTTCTTTGGGAATTATCATATTCACTATATAATTAAAAAAGCCCTTAAGTTGTGGATTAGAATCTTCAATCATATGATCAAATTTTATTGGATCCAATTGCAAACTAGCGCCTTCACGACGTTGCTGATGATATAATACTTTTGTTAAAGCTTGTATATTTGATACAAATGTAGAATCTACTATTTTAAGTTTAATAAAAAAAATATATATATTAATACTGTATTAAAAGAAAAAAAAAATCCAGCCAAAAAAAATAAATTACAATTATTTGATTGAAGTTCAATCGGTCTTAATATGTTAGACAATGGTTGTTGCTGCATTTGGAGGACTTGTTGGGCCTGGTATGGTTGCTGCTGCATTTGAAGGACTTGTTGGGCCTGGTATAGTTGCATCTGCATTTGGAGAACTTGCTGTTGAGCCTGAAAAGGTTGAATCTGCATTTGAGAAGTCTGCTGTTGAGCCTGGGGTAGTTGCTGTATTTGGGATTGGGAAGTCTGAGTTTGAGGTAGTAGCTGAATTTGGGATTGGAAAGCCTGGGCCTGGGGTAGATGTTTCTTCTTTCGATGATCTATTTGTTTTATTTTTAGTTTACGTTTTTCTTGGCCTCTGTCGACCTCTACGATATTACAATAATGTTGGTGGCATAGTTGTTGCCTGATCTCAAGATAAGAATATGATTCCAGCATTCCTTTCTCACGACATTTTTTATATGCAAGCTCTGTAATTGTACGAAACCTACCACAGATAAGTGTACAATTAATTACAGAACAGGGACCATGATTTTTTTTTTCCATTTTTTTTTTATTTTTTTTTTTCTATTTTTTTTTATTCTTTTTTTTTTTTTTATTCTTTTACCACCACGGTGATACAAACAGAAACAGGACCGGCAAAACTTTAATCATGGCGAAGTTTTGACCCTAGCAAAACTTTGACAATGGCAGTAGTAAAACTTGAATGACGACGAATAAGATGAAGCTTTAACCACAAAAATCACGACAGAACCTTTTGATCAAAGTAAAATTTTTAGCATAGTGAATTTTAATTAAACTTTGCTTTTAGTAAATTTATCCATTGCAACACCTTGGTCATGCGAAGCTAAAACTTGATCATAATCAAAAAAAAATTTTGTGTAAAAATTTTTATATATAATTAAACTGACCAATCATAATCTAAAAAATCAGAATCTGCAGGTTACACATTTGTGCCAATAGGATAGAACTTCTGTCATGCTAAGGCGTACATGATGATCTAATTTCAGAGGCTATTTCGGTCAGGTACCAACTTCAAACCTTTCATATGGGCAGATTTTACGTGAATAAAATCCAAATGTGATAATATAGAGGTAGGATATGAAGATCAATAATTTTATTGGATGATATATTGAACTATTTTCTTTTATAGTAATAGTTAATCATACTCTGATCAAACTAAACATCACCTGATAAATTTAATTGGTTAATTATATTTGTTTATATCATACTCACATTACTCTATTATTGCCATAGTATATCAGATATTCTCCAAATGCACAAAATTATTTTTACAACTTCACTTACACCTGAGACATTTTGTTATGAAGGTAAAGTAAAACGTTGTAAGGTTTAGCAAAAATCTCAACTTACTGTAAATGCAAATCCGAGTATACCAAGTAATGTGACGTTGAATAGATGTAGATCCGAAGAAGCATTAGTGAATACCTTTTACAAGAATATTGCTCCTCTGAATCTTCTATTTGATTATATTAAATCAAAGAAAAAAAAAAACATTGCTGAAAACATTTTGCAAAAACACTACTTCAACCCTTTCGGATCTTAATATATATAAATCAAATGAACAAAGTTTATGGAATGGTGGTTTATTAGTTGACGCATCGAATAAAATGGTTGAACAAAGCATGAATATAGAGAGACAAGGTTAGTTACCAGTATGTCTATTATAGGCTTATATATAAATTTAATAAATATTTATATTATAGAAACCTCATCACAAAAGTTATTAACTTATGAGAATAGGCGTATATTTTATAATAATTTTCTATTATTATAGCTATGCGTAGAATGGGTAATAAAGATTTTTGGAGTACTTACAAAGTAATTAATCTTGGCTACTATCTGTCTTTATCCAAATTTACTCGCAAATACAATAATATCGCATATCAGATTCCTGATCAATATGAGGTTGAAACTAATTTAGCAAGATTGTTTATAAGATGTAAAACCCAATACCAACAAGCTGGTAATATTAATTATAAAATTAGTTGAACAAATTCTTGTGGTAATACATTATCAAGCATTAGTACAACTTCTGCAAGTAATGTTGGTGCTAAATTTTTAACGGTAATATATATTAAATAAATAAAGAATTGATATTTTATTTTATCTTAAATTCTTAATGATAAATATTAAATTAAATAAATAAAAAAATTTTATAGAATATTTGTAATAAACCTAATACCGCATTTCTAAAATATTTTTATTTAGATTTGATATTGATTGCTTATATAAAGCAAGAATTGAAATTCCTACTAATCGCAAGCATCTGTATACAGAATTAAAATCTAATTCACAAAAAAACAATGAATCACATTGGTAGCAAAAGACTTAAATATTCAAACAGCAAAGCTCTTTTGTAATCATTAATTTGTTAATTCATTAAGTACTAATATAGTAAATCTTGAGTTAGTAAAGCTTAAAGTTATGGATAAAGATATAACTCTTAATTATCAACCTAAAAATGAAAACAAACAATATTGCAACTCTCTTGTTTGAATATGTGATGAAATGTTAATTTCTCATAATGGATACCGAAAATTGGCAGCTGTAGATCCAAATATGATTCAGGAATACTTAGTTGAGCAGCAACGTAAAGATATTAATAATCAAATGAAACAACATTTACCAATAGTTTTATTTAATATTGATCAAGCATTAGAGCTTGAGGAAGATATTGTAGAAAATAGGATTGCAGATTTGGATGATCATAAAATTGAAAATGCTGTCTATCGATCGATTAGATCTTTATTAATAGTTTTGGTACCAATTTTAACTACATCTAATCCACCTGTTCTTTATTCTGGTAATAAAATTAATTTAAAAATTGGTGAAGATGGTCGAAATATTAGCAGAAAACAAAATCTTATTATACTAGCAATTAGTATACTAAATGAAGGTGAAGCAGTATTAAATCTGAATCATGTATATAGGTAATAATAATAATAATAATAATAATAATAATAATAATAATAATAATAATAATAATAATAATAATAATATTAATATTAATATTAATAATAATAATAATATTATTATTAATATTATTATCCTGATCATTATTATCATGTAGAAAATTTGATTAATTTATTGTAATAGAGAATTAATAAAAATTTCTAGGGGAAATTACATGTAAGGGTCCGAAAAATGAAAATAATTACAAATGAGGGTCCAAGCTAAAAATGACTACAAATAAGGACCAAAATTTTGAAATAATTTCAATTAAGGGCCAAAATAACTTGGCGTTATGACAATAATAGTCCTTCGAATGTTATCACTGTATGCACAATATTATATACAGTATTACTTTATAATTTGAGTTTGCTTTATTACAATTTCTTTTAACAGAGATACAGTTCCACTAAGTATATCCATATGATCATAAATTAATTTCTGCACGTTATATTTTTTTTCATGTAATATGATGTAATTGTGTTTATTCAGATTAAAACTCAATCGACAGCTCTCGACCAATCATGATCATAAATTGACGGTACAGTAATTTGGCAAATGATTTTCTGCACGTGCCAAATTATCGTTATTCGCAAATTTTTGTATACTGTACTTATTTTCATTTTTCGGATCCTTATATGTAAATTCCCCAAATTTCTGTGCCTATTATATTTAAAAAGACGACAGAAAACTAATTTGGTTAAATTATAAATTTTCCTAATGATTGCGAAAATGGAAGTTCTTTAGTTATGTATGTTTTCACCATAATTATGTTTTTTCATTATTATTTTTTTTATGTATGGCAAAACTTCATCCGACGTTACTACTGTGTAAGACTGAAGATCTTAACTATTTATGGTTAAATAAACTTATTTTATTTCTTATAAGTAAATGATTATGTAAACACGACTACTGATGCAGTCTATCAGTAGTTCAATATCATTAATATTTCTGTACTTGTAATTTGTCAACCTACTTCATAATCTTAATCCCATTTATATATACCTATATATGCGCTGTGATATTTGAAGATATTATTGGAAATAATGTTAGAAGATTTAAAAGATCGGAAAATTTTGACATTCAATTTTTTGTAAATTCACGGATATTATTTCCGATCTGATCTGACATCTAATCAGAAATGTTTATCGAGAAAATAAATACTTATTTACACTATAGAAAATCATTTACCCAATTTTGACATGCGTGATAAGTGTGATAAAAAATTATTTATATCACAACATCCAAAAAAGATATAAAACATGAATTTAATTATTACCGATAAAGCTTAACAAAATAAAAAAAAAAAATGGATCTCCAAATTCGTGAAATTTTTAATATTTTCAAAAATCATGAAATTTCTAATATTACTTCAACATTAAAAAATCATGCAATTGCTAATGTTGCCTCTTTAACATTAATAGACTGGTTAACAGCCTTTCTACTAATCGTTCTGCTTTACACGGCTAAATATTACTTCTCCTATTTCACGCGTAATAATCCTTTACCAGGACCTTTGCCTTTTCCTATAATTGGTAACGCTTATCTTTTTCGTGGAGATTTAGCCGAAGTATTTCTTAAACTTCAAGCGAAATATGGAACATTATTTGAAGTTTATTTTGGTCCTAAGCGCATGATATGGTTGGGTGATGCAAAGTTAGTTAAAAAACTCAACGATCCATCTCCAAAATCAAATTTTCCATATCGTGCTATAGGTCCTTGGATTGATGAAATTAAAATGACCGGCATGGGATTGGCTCTTAATAATCATATGAATTCTTGGAGATTTAATAGGTCAATGTTAGGTCGAAGTCTTATGGTACCTTCACTCTTTCGACAATTGGTTCATAAAATGGAAATCACATTTGCTGAATTAGAAGGATACTGGATAAAGTTATCAGGAGGAAATAAAGTCATGAAGACTGATATAGCTGATTGGATTTATAAATTTACAAATGATGTCATTGTTCCTATAGTTACAAAAAAACCTGCTGCAAATATGTTAACTTATTATAATTATCTTGCAAAAAAAGATTCCAATATTACATTCGAACAACAACAAGCTATTGAAATGTTGGATAGAATTCGAATTTGGCAAAAATCTATAATATTCTTTTATTTCTTTCCAAGATTCCTTAGGCATTATATACCACCGTTTACTTCTCTTAATTCTAAATATTTAAATAACATAAATTGGTTAAATGAATATTTTATTGATATGGTAAAAGTCAGAAGAAAAGAAATTGAGAATCTTCCAAAGGGAGAAACATTAAGTTCGGATATTTTAACCTCCCTTATTTGTTCTAACACACGTTTTGGTATCCAATATGGTACTGAAAGTGACGAATATGAAAGGCCTATGACGGATGAAGAAATTATGCGAGTTACGAGTGAAGTAATTACTGGTGGCACTAATCCAGTAAGCATTTAATTAAAACTTCGTTTAAACGTTTATAAATATTTATAAATTTTAAAACTAATTCAATTATTATAATTAATTAATGTGGTGGCTGAAGTTGAAATTGGCTGAAGCTGAAATTTGACCTATTTTATTATGAAAATTTAAAAATTTTGGGGTACATTTTTTGACCTTTTTTTAGGGTTAGGGGTCAGCTTTATGGGTAGAATTTTATAATAAACAAGTATAAGTGGGTTTAGTAGGTTTTATGAATCTGAATTGAGACCCTCGAATTTTCAGCTTCAGCCAATTTCAGCATCATCCCCAACAATTATTACAATTATTAGCTTGGTTCTGGAATATGTTTCACCGTATATCATATTGCTAAAAATCTTGCCGCACAATCCAAGGTTCATAATGAGATTGATAAAGTTCTTGGTAAAGACATGAACCGACCTATAACATACGAAAATATTATAAAATTAAATTATATCGAGGCTTGTTTTAAAGAATCTTTACGATTGTTACCAGTTATCCCATTTATTTTTAAAGGATCAGATAAAGAAGATACTATAGCCGGTTTTAACTGGAAAGCGCAACAAGAATTTTTTATTCATAGTTATTATATACATAATTCTAAGGCTCATTGGCGTGATCCAGGATCATTCATACCTGAAAGATTCCTTGGTAATGAAAATATTGAAGAAAATAGTCATTTACTATTTGGTGGTGGACTTAGAATATGCCCTGGACGTCAACTAGCATTAAATAGTGCTAAAATTTTTGTAGCTTTAATCTTTAGAAAGTATAAAATTGAGTTAGTTGATGACCAGTCATTCTCAAAAGCTTATAATTTAGATAATAGATGCGACAAGTTGAAGGTTTATATTCGGCCGAGAAGCGAATAATAGTTACTAAAGAATGTATTCTTTAACATTATCTTCATTATTGTTATCATTATCGTTATTTTATTATCATTATCATTATCATTATCATTAATATTTATTATTTTTTCATAATGTACATAAGGTGAAGTAGGGTATTCTGACGCACCTAAGAGTGCTAATAGTAAAAGTTTTCTGAAAAAAAATATTATTCACAAATTTTATTAAAATAAACTAATATTCGATCTAATATCCATCGTCAAACTAATAAACG